ATAGAATCAAACACGAACAGCAATCACGTTGAGGTCTTGGGTAAACTAAGTAAAAATTTTCGGCCACAGTTTAAACCCGCTCTTCCGGAGCTATGCAGCAAATATATTGACGTATTCGTAAAATAAACCGAATCGATATCAACCAATAATTTCTATAAGCAAAAGATAAGAATGAAAGACGATGAACCTGTTTATATTAAGAACTATAGAATTCCACATAGCCAAAGATAGGTAGAAAAACAAGTCGAGAAATTAATAAAAGACAAAATAGTAGAACCGTCAGTCTCAGACTACAATAGTCCATTATTAATAGCCCCAAAGAAATCATTGCCGGGTTCGGATAGTAGATTAATAAAAAAAATCTTGTCCGATAAATTTCCATTGCCCAGAATTGATGATATTCTCGATCAGCTGGGTAGAGCTAAGTACTTCTCATGTCGGGATTTCATCAGATAGAGCTCGAGCAATGGCTCCTATCGCTTCACGTGATTACCATATGGTTTAAAAATTGCACCAATTTCTTTTCAAAGAATGATGACAATCGCATTTTACGGTATAGAACCCTCCTTTCTATTCCTGTATATAGACAAACACAACCTTAAATTGCACCCAGAAAAGTGCTCATTCTTCAGACACGAGGTAACCTTTTTGGGCCATAAGTGTACTGATAAGCGTATTTTGCCAGACAGCAAGAAATATGATGTCTTAGAAAAGTACCCAGTCCCAACGGACGCGGATAGTGCTAGAAGGTTCGTTGCATTCTGCAATTATTATAGACGTTTTATAAAAAATTTCGCCGATTATTCGCGGTACATAACAAGATTATGTAGAAAGAATGTTAAGTTTGAGTGGACAGATGAATGTCAAAAAGCATTGTAATATTTGAAGTCCAGTTAACCTACGTTGCTGCAGTACCCAGATTTTAACAAAGAATTTTGAATAACGACGGATGCAAGTAAGCAAGCTTGTGGAGTCAGTACATCAAAATCATTATGGGACACAGCTACCAGCAGCATATGCATCGAGGTCGTTCACAAAAGGAGAAAGTAACAAAAATACAACGGAACAGGAACTGGCAGCCATCCATTGGGCAATAAATCATTTTCGACAATATATTTATGGCAGGCGCTTCACAGTCAAAACCGATCACAGGCCCTTAACGTACTTGTTTTCAATGACGAACCCGAGCTCAAAACTGACGCGCATGAGACTTGACTTGGAGGAGTATGATTTTACTGTTGAATATCTTTAGGGAAAAGACAACCATATAGCAGATGCATTGTCAATAATAACGATAACCGATTTAAAAAATATACAGATAAATAACAAAATATTAAAAGTCACTACAAGAAATCAAAGTAAACAGAAAAATTCCTGCGCAAGAAAAGAAAAAGTAGATTTGCCTAGGCAAATTCGAACTTATACGAAGTCATTGCAAATGACGAGGTACGAAAAGGCATTATTACTGGAAAAATATGACACGAGACATTACAAATTATATAAAACAAGTAAAAAAGCTAAAGTCGGATGTCCTGACTTTGAAATACTCTGTACATATCTTTACAATAATTATAGAAAATAAAAAAAATTAAGAAAATTAAAAAAAAAAATGTTGATCGATTTTACCTTTCTCGGTATTCGAACTCACGTAAAGGGTGTATAATTGCACATTTACATAGCAATTGCGTTTGTGTGAGTGTATTAATGCCTATGCGCATCTATTCGTGTCTGTGTAAACATGTTTGCACTCAACCATAGCACCACCATCGACAACAACTGCGGGCAGCGCTTGGGCAGCGCGTGGGCAGCGCTTGAGCAGCAAATATATTTATGGCTATAACTTCTTGTTTAATCGGTCTATCTTAGTGAATCTTGGCATACGGACACATAATAACTAACTGGGGGTATTTGCAAAATTTGAGTTCGAAATTCCAAGAATTACGGGAGTTAGAGAAAATCGCGATTTGCGGGGGGAGAGGGGGGAGGGAAGGAAATTCCAAAATACACATTTTCTGCGTATTCATTCATATAAGGCATCTTGGACTAAAATTTGGTGTTCCTAGGTCTTATAGTCTCCGAGATATAGGCGATTATACGAATGGAAAATCGGGAAAACCTCCATAGGGGGGAAGTGGGGGGGAAAATAAAAAAAATAAAACAAACTCGTATAGAATACACACATAAGGCATCTTTGTGCAAAATTTTGTGTCTCTATCTCTTATAGTCTCTGAGATCTAGGTGATCATATGGACGGACGGACGGACAGACGGACGGACAAACGGACAGACAGACAGACAGGGCTAAATCGACTCGTCTTGTCATGCTGAACAAGAATATATACACTTTGTGGGGTCTGCCACGCCTCCTTCTGCCTGTTACATTTTTCAGCTCGCGCAAACCTAATATACTCTTGTACATTTCATGTACAGAGTATAAAAAGGAACTCATATATCTTTAAAAAAGAAAATTAATATAAATTAAAATAGCATAACTTTTTTTAATTTAAATAAAAAGGAAGGTATTTCTTTTCGCTAATAGTTTTGTTGGCTTCTTTAATTTATATGCATTTACATACTTATACGATGTTACTATTTAATAATTACTAATAGTTACTAATAGCCAAAAAAAAAAACAATAGAAAATGCAAGTGCACGTGCACCCGCCAATATCATTGGTCATTTCGGTCATGCGGGTATGATTGTAAGTACGACGTTCGATCATTTCTTGCACGCAGGCAAAAAGTTTCGATCACCGGCGCTCATTCTGAGTTTTTGCAGTTGTGAGTCGAACTGACTGGTTGGCGAGCGTTTGTTCACAACTGGTCATTGCTTGCATTCATGCAAGAAGTTTCGGGCACAACCGCTCATTTCTGAGTTTTTGCAGTTGTGAATCGAACTGAGTGTTCGTTGAGGGCTCGTTCGCAACCAGTCATTGCTTGTCACTATACCCAAATGAAATAATCATACCGAGTATGGGTAAATACTCGAGTATGACCGAAAATGTAGTACTCGTTGCAGTTCTCTGGTGCACACATAAGGAGTACACACTGTACGCAGTGCACTCTTAAGAACACACACTATAACACTTTACTGCAGTGAATAAATAAATTCAAAAAGCCAAGCATAATTCGGACGCTACGTAATATGATCGTGCATGCATTGGGCGACATAAGTGCAGCGTTAGTGCAATTAGTGTCAGCCAAGTCAGTCAAGTGCACATAACATACTCTTTCGCGCTCTCGCTGCTAACAGCGCTAAGTATATAAGTTAATATATAATGCGGTCGCTCCGCTGCCGACGTTTCTGGCAGCTACGAGGCCTTGGCTAAGTTTTCTTTAAGTCCAAATGTAACAATTCAGTTAAAGTTTTTTTTTGATTTTTGAGATAAAGTGAAAATAAAGAATATAAACTGAAGTTTAAACAAAACGTTATTACAAACTAGTACATGCTCTACTACGAGATATAGTTCTTTATGTACATATATACGTATGAGCTAGTGACCATTTTCCCTGCCTATGATATAGTGTGTAGAATCGAAAGCACTGAACTGGATGGTTTGTATATAAGTACTTCCTAAAGACTATGTAAACTTCCCGTTTTTTCTTTTTATTTCTATTTAGCTTTTATGTAATCAACAATTTCCATATTTTTCCACAGGTACACTGCAGCTCACACACTTGACCTGTACAGCGAAGTAGCGGCCATTTGCCGTCCACCACTCGTGCTTCCATCCAACGAAGCGGGAAATCTTAAAAAATCTCAATCGTCGGCGACCGGATACATAATAAGCGTTTTTAAAGTTGGTCCATTCTATTTATAATGGTATCTTGAATTATATTAAAATGTTAAATATTATAGGTTTTCGAAGGCGATGACGGTGAGCGATTTGAAAAGAACTGGCTTTATTGGACGGGTGCTAGAATGTTATACAGGTACATTGGTGGATATTTATGATCAAAATATGTAACTAAAATTGTTTATTCTTTATTAATATGTATGTATATATAGATATTTGCCTCGTGCCGCCGGCTTGAGACGCATTGCACTTAATAAAAGCACTGCAGGAAAAGGCGATAAAATGTACTTCTTAGTGTGCGAGTGTGTCGATTTACTAAAAGACGTATCCTTGGCTTCTTTTCTAATACCGGCACTAAGAGCTCGCCTGTGTGGTTACACTGGACTTTATCGACCTGTGCAAGTATTCTAGATTAATGAATACATTTATCGTACGAACTATTAGGCAAGTAGGTCAGAAACATAGATACAAAATTATTTGCCTGAAAAAAAAATATCCAAACATATTGTTCAACTGAACCATGTTATATTTATTTAGTACAAGTCATATTTAACAAGAATGTACCCGCTCTGTACCCACTCCGAGAAAAAATTATAAAAATATATTTTAAAAGAAATATTTTTAAATTAAACTAATTTTATGAATTTAATAAAATAATAGTTACATCGAGATTATGTCTATGCTGTATATCCTTGCATATGTGTTATGTATGTCGTTACCGTGTTCTTCGATTAGGATCGTGCAGCCATGAGTTGTGAAATATGATGACAAGGAGAACACCAAGTTTGTTTACATTTTAGATTTTACTGTTAGGTTCATGCACGCATCTTCATACCACAACTTATTTTTGCTTACATTCATAATTTTAATTTCGCCACCTGGTCTACTTGCTGTTCATTTATGTTCGCCTGTTACTGGGCTATTGGTGTACTTGAAAAACTTAGTTCTTTTTGGCATTAAAAATCATCGAAAACTACAAAAAAAAACAGCACCTCTTAACAATCATAACCTACCAGGTAGTCATAAATAAGCAGAAGGCAAATCAACTGCTGCTGATTGCTTGTTTATTTTAATGCAGCAGTGGGCACGAAATTTTTTAATGGGAGCACAACAACAACATCGACAACGAAAATCACCGGTAGAGTTATGAGTAAATTCTAAGGAAAAGCGAGCAACGACTCACGCACTATATACGTGTATTTTATTTTTGCAACAATCTGCTTGTGCGTCTCGCTGGCGTCACGGTCTTTTGCTTGTGTGTCTTGCTAACGTCACTTTCGTCACACAAAACCTTGCCGATCCAGCAGACAAAACCGTGAAGAAAGAAGTTTCACTTCAAAAGTACCAAAACGTTTACAGCTGGCGTTTATCTTTGTATTCGTTCGTCTAGACTTTTCTCAGTTTCGTGCACATTTTTTATACTCTACATGAAATGTACAAGAGTATATTAGGTTTGCGGGAGCTGAAAAATGTAACAGGCAGAAGGAGGCGTGGCAGACCCCACAAAGTATATATATTCTTGATCAGCATGACGAGACGAGTCGATCTAGCCCTGTCTGTCTGTCTGTCCGTCTGTCCGTCCGTATGAACACCTGGATCTCAGAGACTATAAGAGATAGAGACACCAAATTTTGCACAAAGATGCGTTATGTGTGTATTCTATACGAGTTTGTTTTATTTTTTTGATTTTCCCCCCCACTTCCCCCCTATGGGGGTTTTCCCGATTTTCCATTCGTATAATCGCCTATATCTCGGAGACTATAAGACCTAGGAACACCAAATTTTAGTCCCAGATGCCTTATGTGAATACGCAGAAAATGTATATTTTGGAATTTCCCTCCCTTCCCCCTCTCCACCGCAAATCGTAACTCCCGTAATTCTTGGAATTTCGAACTAAAATTTTGGAAATACCCCCAGTTAGTTATTATGTGTCCGTATGCCAAATTTCATTATGATAGACCGATTTAACAAGAAGTTATAGCCATAAATATATTTGCTGATGCAGCGCTGCTCAAGCGCTGCCCGCGGCTGTTGTTGATGTTGCTGTTTGGTTGACTGCGAAAATGCTTACACAGACACGAATTGATGCGCATAGGCATACATACACTCACACAGACGCAATTGCTATGTAAATGTGCAATTATACACCCTTTACGTGAGTTCGAATACCGAGAGAGGTAAAATCGATCAAATTTTTTTTTTTATTTTCTTAATTTTTTTTATTTTCTATAATTATTGTAAACATATGTACAGAGTATTTCAAAGTCGGGACACCCGACTTTAGCTTTATTACTTGTTTGTATTCAGCTTCGTTACCGCATAGTCTTGAAATACTTTCATACTTGAAAAACGTAGTTCAATTTATCATCAAAAAATCACCGAAAACTACAAGAAACAGCGATTTTTAAAAATCATTACCTACCAGGTAGTCATATATAAGCAGAAATCAAGTCAACCGCTGACGATTGCGTGTGTATTCTACAATTAGGATCGGGCAGCCATGTGTTGTGAAATAAAGTCGACTCTCCTTAATTCGAAACTCGAGGGACTCTTAAAATGTTACGAATTATCGAGAGTTTGAAATATCAAATGGTTCGAAATTTGTGAAAGAAAATAAATAAAACTTCGAAATATTAAGTGTTGTTCAATTATTATTTATTAACTGCTATTCTATATCAATGTCAAAAGAGTAACAGTAGCTGAATGATAACTAAACAAACCAATGTGTGTGAAGTGTGTGTCAAATAGCCAAACTAATCATAAAAAAACAGTTACCGGGACTCATCTTGAGCGGTGAGCGTTATATGCGCAGAAGTAAATTTTTGGGTCTGATTGGTGGTATGAAGTGCACTTTTCGCCTCTTTCTCTATGCAACTTTGAATTGTCGAGTGCTGGACGCCGATGAGTTCGTTTTGTTATATAGCAATGATTTTTTCGTTTGAATTACCAAGTGCATAAAAATGTATTGATTAAGTTCGAAATATAAAGAGGTTTTGGGGGAACTCGTGATAACATTGAATTAAAGAGAGATTCGAATTATCGCAGGTTTGATTAACGAGAGTCCACTGTATGACCAATAGGAGAACACCAAGATTGTATACATTTCAAATTGAACCGTTAGGTTCATGCATGCATCTTCGTACCACAGCTGATTTTTGTTTACATTCATAATTTCAATCTCGGTGTACTTGAAAATCAAAATGAATCAACTGCTGACGATTGCGTGATTATTTAATATTCAATGCAATGAAATTTTTAGTCTGAAGCAAAACAACAACATTTACAACAACAAAATACTCTGTATATATGTTTATAATATTATTGAATATTTAGAATATTTATAAAAATTCAATAAATTAAGAAAATTAAAAAAAAAATTGGATCGATTCTACCTCTTTCGGTATTCGAACTCACTTAAAGGGTGTATAATTGCTCATTTACATAGGAATTGTGTCTATATGAGATCGGCGGAACTTTGCATCAGTGGTGCCGTTCGCACCACTCCGAATGATGCACTAAACATAATACTGAGCATTCTCCCCCTCGACATTATCGGGCAGGAGATGGCGGCTAACACAGCCCTGAGGCTAAGGGAAACCCCAACATGGGAAGACTCTGCTTATGGGCACGCAAAGATGCTCCATCGTCAGTATACCTACTCGCCTGAAGTGGGAACAATTGCCCCACTTAAGAAGCAGCGCCATTATAATATTTACTGACGGCTCGAAACTCGCTGGGTGAGTCGGAGAGGGAATCTTTTCCCCCGATCTGGGTCTGGGAATCTCCTTCCGCATGCCTGTAGCGTTTATCAGGCATCACTGTAGCGTTTATCAGGCGAAAGTCACTGCTATTCATGTAGCTACTGTAGCTACTTCCTTACAACCGCAATGGACGGTAGACGTTTATTCTGACAGTCAAGCGGCACTTAAAGCCTTAGAGTCTAATTTATACAATTCTCATGTTATCACAGACTGCCGCAGATCTTTTAACGAGATGTCCAGCACGCCTATACAAATCTCGTATGGCTACCGGGGCACCGGAATATAGAGGGGAACTGTATTGCAGACGTACTGACTATGGAGGGAACTACGCAGCTGCGCATCCATCCTGACGAGGAAGACATTGGCATGCCGCAAGTCTCCTTCCGCCTATTTTGGTCAATGTGGGGGGGGTGTGAACAGCACCCCAGCCATCGCAACCTAACCTAACCTAAATATGTATGTCAGTATGTCTGTATGAATATATGTCCAAATGGTAAGCGATTAGAAGAAATAAACTTGCATATGTGTGTATGCTCAATTAAATGTTGTGCAGTTGAATAGGTTAACCAAAGATCTTTGCCAAACTGTACAGCTTTTAATTCTAAAAATTACTTGCAGTGAAGATCACTATTATACTAAATACATAAATATACATATGCATGTACTCAAGGGCGTAGGCAGGGGGGGGAGGGGCAGGATCTGAGTTAGAATAGTGCATTTTTTAATCAAAATTTTAATTTTTTCGGTGCGAAAATGAACTTTGAACAAAGAGCCAACATTAAATTTTGTTTTAAAATTGGTAAAACTTTTAGCGAAACGTTTCAATTGATGGAACAAGTTTATGGCGATGATTGCCTATCCCGTAGAAGAGTGCACGAGTGGTTTCAACGTTTTCAAAGTGGTCGTGAGGCCATAAATGACGATGAACATGTGGGCCAATCAAAATTCGTGATCACCGCAAATTCCATCGAAACTGTTCGTGAATTCATCAAAAATCACCCGAAATCATCATTGAAATTGATGGCAATGGAATTGAACATCTCCAAAACATCGATTTATCGCATTTTGACCGAACATTTGGGATTAAGAAAGGTACGTGCACGGTTTGTTCCGCACAAACTGACCGACGACCAAAAATTGCTCAGAATCGATAGACGCTTGTGACCGATTATTGACCAAAAATGACATTTTAACCAATAACCACTCGCGGTATTCACCTGAAATGGCACCGTGCGACTTCTACCTTTTCGCAAAAATGCATTTGCCCATGAAAGGAAAGCGTTATGCAGACGTAGAGGTCATTCAAAAGGCTTGCACCGGCATACTGGCCAACGAGCTAAAACACTCGTTCGACATGCTTTTGGATCGTGCAAAAGCTGTATTGAAGCAGAAGGAGACTATTTTGAATAAAATAAATTGATTTGCCGAAAAAACCATTTGTTCTGTTTTTTTTAAGGTCCTGTTTACTTTGGAACCAACGTTGTATGTTGAGCTATTACGGGTCGGAGCTCCTGAAAATCAATTTATTTTACTCCCACAAAATAAAAAAGTAAAAAAAGTCGGGTGACTTTGAAATATTCTGTACATATGTTACAATAATTATAAAAATTAAAAATATCAAGAAAAATAAAAAAAAAAATTGGATCGATTTTACCTCTCTCGGCATTTGAACTCACAAAAAGGGTTTATAATTGCACATTTACATAGCAATTGCGTCTGTGTGAGTGTATGTATGCCTATACGCATCTATGTGTCTGTGTAAACATATGTGTAGTCAACCAAAGCACCAGCATCAACAACACCTGCGAGCAGCGCTGCAGCAGCAAATATATTTATGGCTATAACTTCTTATTAAATTGGTCTATTATGATGAAACTTGGCATACGGACACATAATTACTAACTGGGGGT